AGCAAGCTCGTACTGCCGGTCCTCCAGGACGTCACAGCCAAGTGCAGCAGCATCCCCGACGGACGGAGGAAGGGCACGGTCAGAGACCAAAGCGGTGGCGTAGTCTAGGCAGTGGGAAGAGGCAATGTCAGTGACGACGACGACAAGAGCGTCAAGACTGCAGACAGAAATTGACGGGTCGGTAATGAGGGAGGCGAGGATCCAAGGAACAAGAGGGCTAGCGGCATGGAGGAAATCAGACAGAGGAGGCGGAGCGACAACAAGCGATGACGGAGGAGGTGATGGGAGTATTGGAGGACGAGACGTGTGAGAACAGAGCAACATAGGATGAGAACGCTGAACAGGAGAGACAAGACGAGCACGAGAGGGATGGCAAGACCAAAACTGGGACAGAGGCGTCAATTCAGGAGAATGAGGGGGGAAACAAGCCGCAGACAAGTCCGGCGGAGGAAACACAAGGGCGTAGACAGGTAGGGGAGGCGGCGGTGGAGGTGGTGCAGGCGGGTGGTCAGGGGAAGGAAGACCAAGGAGACAAAGGGCGGACACTGTCGGCGATTGTTGCTACTGCTGCTGCTGCTCCACGCCGACACCCGAACCTCCAGCTGCACCACGGCTGCCTCTGGGACGCTCCACGCCAACACCCCCAAAACGAGAACCCTCTCCAGCACCGGTGCCACCCCCACGACTGCCGGGAAAAGCCACGACAAGAACCCCAGGTCTAGCACCCCCAGAACCAGCACCCCCAAAACGAGAACCCTTTCCAGCACCGATGCCAACCCCAAGACCGCCGGGACAAGCCACGACAGTAACCCCAGGACTAGCACCCTGGTCAACGCCCGCACCCCCAGAGCTCGCGGACCCTTGCAGCGGCTGCTGCTGCGGTGGCAAGGACTGCGGCTGCTGCTGCGGGTGCGACGGCGGCGGCGGCTGCTGCTGCGGTGACAGCGGAGGAGGAGACACCGGGGCAGAGACAGGCGGCAAGAACGGCACTGCGGGGCCACCAGAGTCAGGCGACTCCTCAACCGGGACAACCGACGGGAGGGGAGTGACGTGAGACACACCAGACGGGGCAGGATGGGGAGGGAGAGGAGCCAGTGCTACCGGGGGAGTGGGAACCAGAAACAGGGGTGGGGAAACTGGGAGAGCTTGGTAAGGAAAGAGGTGGTAGAAAGAGACAGTTTTGTCAAAAGTGACGTCACGCGAGTGAAAGAAGCGGTGAGACGGCGGGTGGTAAAAGTGCCAGTCATTCGAGTCGAGGGGGAAGCCAAGGAAGACACAGGGAACAGTGGGGGCAGTGAGCTTGTCCATGCCAGAGGCAGGAACGTGAGCAAGGCAGCCCCAGACGTGGAATGAGACGCGTCACTAGGGAACCCGGTCTAGAGAAGGGTCGGCGAAACCTGCGGCCGCTGGGAGTGCGGCCACAGGTTAAGCTGGTGAGCGGCTTAGCGAACAACGAACGACCACAGAAAATGGGGTGCACCGGCATGGAGCATAGAGGTACGAGCCACCCCCATGACCAAACCGATGCGTCGCTCAGCGACCCCATTCTGTTGCAGGGAGTCCGACGGGGTGTACGACTGGGTGATGCCCTCCGCACGACATAACTGGCCAAGTCGATCGGAGGCAAACTCGCCACCACGGTCGAAGTGGAGACACAGCATGGGGAGGCCGTGGTGGACTCGCGCAGCGACCACCCACGAGATAAGAACGTCAGGCACGACAGCCTTACGCTCCAGGGGAAACACCGTGGTGTAGCGCGTGTAATCGTCGACAAGGACTAGAAATTAGCGCTCGCGACGCGGCTCAGGGACAGGGGCTGGGCCCCAGACGTCCACGTGCAGGGTCTGGAGTGGCGCACTGGCAGGGCGAAGCGAGGAGGAGTGAGGAGTACGGCGCAACCGGCCCTCGACGCAGGGCGTGCACGGTTGCGCAGGCGAGGGAGGGAAGGTAGGGAGCGACGCAGGGAGACCTAGGACAAGACCGTGCTGGAACATGTGACGCAGGCGCGGGAGGGCAGAATGACCTAGGCAGTGGTGCCAAAGACGCGACGGGTGAGTGAGGGATCGATACAAGCAAGCCGCAGCGACCTGGGTAGACGCAGGTACCTGGAAAGGTGCCCTGTGGCAGCCTCGGTACCGACCGCGTACCGCTCATGTCCGGGGAACGTAGTGGTGACGCCGAGGTCCTGAAGACAGCCGACACCAACTAGGTTCCTGGAGAACGAGGGGATCTGCAGGCCTGTAAGAGAGCCCGAGGGAACCACCGGATAGTGAAGGGTAGCTGAGCTACGGGCAACTACCGGACCTAAGGTGGGGTCAGCTAGCGCGACTGCGGCAGGGGCGGCAAGTGGCATGAGCGCAGTGTGGTCGCAGAAGAAACAGGCAAACGCACCAGAGTCGAGCGTGAAAGGGAGCGAAGCGGTGGCGATAGCTAGCGGAGGGGCTAGTGTGGAGCCTAGGCTAAACAAGGTAGACAGTCCTACGCCCGACGGAACAGGGGAGCCTATACTACACTCAGGTGACACACCTACTCTAGGCAACACAGGGTAATAAGATCGGGGTACACTAGAGTCATGAGCATACATGGCATGCAAGGCAGAGCAAAGCTGATTCATATCCATCTCAAAGATCGGAACACGGTGGCGTACCAGACTGGGCCAGTCAGGTAGGTCCGGCGCAGGGCCAAAGCAGAGACAGAAGTGGTCGTCGAGGCGGCGGAAGTAGCAGGCGGCAATGTGACTGGGACAACCACACACAGTGCCGCGGAGGGGGCCGCTCTGGAGCTGGTGCTTGCAACCTACAGAGCCGAAGCTACCACCCGGCGCCGGGCTGCGAGGGCCGACACCGCGGCCACCACCACTAGAGGCACTGGGCCACCCCGGCGGGAGGCGGCCCCACTACTGTGGCTGCAGCTGCGGCTGCTGCTGCTGCTGCTGCGACTGCTGCTACTGCTGCGACTGCGGCTGCTGCTGCTGCTGCTGCTGCTCCAGGGCACCAGCCCCGGTCCCCTTGTCTGAACCACCATCCCTGCCCCCACCTCCACCACCCCCACCAACCCCCACCACCCTTCCCTTCGTCACGCCCCCCCTTGGAGCAGCGACCGCTATCCTGACGCGGCTGCGCTGAGGCCGCAGCGGCGGTCTCAGCGGCAGGGGCTGTCTCAGCGACATAGAAACGTCAGAATAGGTGCGTTGGGAGGGAGCACAGCCCTGAAAGATAGGGACCGCCGTAGTACCGCTAGACTGGGTGATAGTGCACATGCGGATCTTTATCTCGGACAGGGCGGTGACAAAGGCGGTAAGGGTGAGGTCATCAGGGTGCTGACTAAGGAAGTGGTCGCGGGCAGTGGCAAGGCGGTCCGAGAGGCGTGTGGCAATTTGGTACAGGGTAGCGCAAAGCAGCGGCGGGAATGCAGGGAGCTGGGCCTAAGTGCTAGCGGCGCGGTAGCTAGTCTCAAGGGCGCGGAGGTGAGTGGCAAGGTCAGCGACAGTGGAGAAGGACGCAAGATCAGGGAGCTGCATGGGGAGGATCAGGTGGACAGAACTGATTGTGGCGGGCGTGGAATAGCGTGCAATGACGGCATCTAAAAATTCCATGGCGTTCGCTACAGTGGTAAAGCGGGGACGCTCAGACAGGGGGAGGGCGTGACTAATAGCAAGCTGCGCTACGGCATTGCGCGACTCCCAAACAGCACGGGCAAGCGCAGCAGCGGAAAAGGCCTCACGCTCAGCAAGGGTGGGGGCATCAGGAAGGGCAGCAGGCGCGGCAGGACGGGGAAGCATACCATCGACATGAACAGTCAGAGAGCACCCGTCCTGGTGCTGACCTGTCAGGTGACGGCGAAGGTCGACGAGCCAGGCCTCAATGTCGATCGCCTGACCCTCCACGTCCAGGCGGAGCACAACGTCCGCCATCCCACGACCTCAGCGGCTGACGGCGGCACAGCGGTACAGCGGCACGGCGACCCGGCGACACGGCGGCACGGTGACACGGCGGCACGGCGTCATGGCAGCACGGCGGCATAGCGACAGTACGGCAAGGCGTCACGCCGGCACGGCGACACAGCGGCATGGCACTACAGCGGCACGGCAGCACGGCTGCACTGCGACACGGCGGTACGGCGACCCGGCAATACGGCGTCACATCGGTATGGCGACACGGCGGCACGGCGCCACAGCGGCACGTCGGCCCGGCGGCACGGCGCCACAAAGGCACGGCGGCACAGCCGTACGGCGACACGGCGACACGGCGGCACGGCACCACAGCGGCACGGTGCCACGGCAGCACGGCGGCACGGCGGGACCGGGGTCAGCTCGAGGGAGACCGGCAAGGAAGGGGCTGGGTAGTAAGAGGGGGGGGAAGGGGGGGGGGGAAACGGCGAGCTGGGGGCCGGCTAGTGAGGGGCCGACTAGTAAGGGGCCAGCGAGCTGGGGGCCGGCGAGCTGGGGGGCCAGCTAGCTACGGGCCGGCGAGCAAGGGGCTGGGGAGCTCGAGGCCAGCTAACGAGGGGCCAGCGAGCGCGGGGCCAGCGGGCATGGGCCAGCAAACACGGGGCCAGCGGGCGTGGACCAGCAAGCGCGGGGCCGAGCGAGCGTGGGGCGACGAGGGTGGGCCAGCGGGCACGGGGCTACGAGGACAGGCCAGCGAGCGCGGGGCGACGAGGGCGAGCCTACGAGCGCGGGGCGACGAGCTGGGCCAGCGAGCACGAGGCGATGAGGGCGGGCCAGCGAGCGCGGGGCTACGAGGTCGGGCCAGCGAGCGCGGGGCGACGAGGGCGGGCCTACTAGCGCGGGACGACAAGCTGGGCCAGCGAGCTGGGGGCTACGAGGGGGGGCCAGCGAGCGCGGGGCAACGAGGGTGGGCCTACGAGCGCTGGGCGACTAGCGGGGCCTGCAGGCTAGGACTAGGGCTAGGACTAGAGCTAAGACTTGTGCTAGGACTAGGGCTAAGTGGAAGCGCGGGTGGGCGAGGAGGACCTAGCCTAGCGTGATACCATCTCGAAGTAGCGAGTTGACTAGCATAGGGCATACAGGGTAGTCTTGTTCTAAGTGTTGTACTCTCTATAGTATGCTCCTAGCTAGCCTATTAACATATACAAATATATATGTTGACAAGGCCTTCGGTAGCACTGTTGGAAGTTGGAACGGTGGCGGTAGCTTTTAAACGCCTCAAAAGTGTTTTCTCAAATGGGGCTGCCTGCAAAAATAATGGAGGGAGACCCAGCAGCAGAGTCCTAAAGTGACGAGCCCTAAACCGGCTGAAGAGATGAGGAATCGAGGATGCGGAGTGATGGGAGGGAGACGCATGAAGATGGGAGACGCATACGCATAAGGCTCAGCAGCCATGCATTGGGTAGCGTTGATGGAACGGTTGAGGTAGCCTGCATACGTCTCGGCGAAAGTTTTGGAGGTAGAGTGGTTGACGCGGTCCTCGTGTGGGTGTGTTTCGGCGAAGGTCTTGGATAGGAAGGCCACGGGGCATTGGGAGGGATCGAAGTTGAACGGATCACAGCAGAAGGTGGTGTTGGGGAAGCCCTCTTGGCCTTGCGGGCCTACGAGGCACTGTGGGATGGGAGGGCGGGAGGGAGGGAGGGAGGGAGGGAGGGAGGGAGGGAGGGAGGGAGGGGAATAGTAAGTCCGGGTGAAGTTGTTGGAGGTGGAGCCCGGGGGGCACTGGGAGGGGCTGAGGGTGAACGGGTCGCAGCAGAAGGTGGTGCTGGGGAAGGCGGCGTCTGTAGGCAGGCCGATGAGGCACTGTGGGGTGGGTGAGGGGGGCATTGGAAGGGGCTGAGGGTGAACGGATCGCAGCGGATGGTGTTGGGAATGCCTTCATCGCCAGGTGTGTGAGGGAGGGAGGGTAAACGCAAGTCTCGAGCTGACTTTTGAGTCGAGACAAGAGTCAGCATGAGTCATTGTGGGGTGCGTAAGGGATGGAGACAGTGAAGGTTGAATGAGCCCCAGCAGAGGGTGGTCTAAGGGAAGCCGTCCTAGCCAGGTGGGCATATACCGAATCAAGCAGCAGTTTAGTGTGTTAGTATTTCCCTTGTGAGACGTCTCAAACGAAACTATTCACATGAGCGTGCTATTGGGGATGCCGTCTTACCCAGGTGGGCATATACCGGATCAAGCAGTAGTTGAGGGAAGGGACGTTGCATGCAAACTGGAAGGGACGTTGCATGAAAACGCACCCCGGAGGAACAGACAACAGCAGTGAAGGCAGGGATGTGTGTACAGCTTTCTGCCTATTACTATGACTCTGTGACAACTTATGAGCGTTTCACAACTGAATGCACCCCTGAGGAATGGAGGGCAGCAGTCAAGGCTGGGATGTTGAAAAGAAGCCAATCAATACATGTACCGTTTGAGAAAGATAAGAACAGAGAGAGGAGGGGGAATACTGAAACGCACCCCCCCTGAGAAGGAGATGACAGCAGTGAAGCCAGGGATGCCAAACAGCTGCCTGCCTATCGCTGTGACGACCTCCGTGGTGAACGCATAGCTATCCATGGTGGTGTTGATCCGACCGACTGAAAGGTAACCGCAGGCAGGGAAGAGGTAGGAAGGAATGCAAGCAAGGGGAAAGTCATACTGACTAGCTTCCTGCCTATTGTTGTGATGACCTCTCAGGTGAACACATAGCCACCCGTGGTGTTGTTCCAACCGACTGAAGGAATAAAAGCGAGGGAGCAGGGGAGAGGCAGAAACACAAACAGGGGAAGCAACGGGAAAGGAGTTCTGAACAGCTGCCTGTCTGCCTGTTGCTGTGACGACCTCGGTGGGGAACGCACAACTATCCAACCAACCAAGAGGTAAATGCAAGGGGAGAGGCAGACATACGAGCAAAGGGAAGCAAGGGGAAAGGAGTGCTGAGCAGCGCCTCGCATACGGTGATAGACTCCTTAAGTCTATCGGCCAGCTCCTCGCATACGGTGATGGTGGGGTCCCCATACACCTCCATGATAACAGGTTTGCCTGGAGATGTCTAACAACCCAGTACCGCACAACAAGGAGGGAGGGGAAAGGCAGCACTCACATAGAGTTCGCATTTGAGTCGACTCAAAAGTCACTCAAAAGTCACTCAAAAGTCACTCAAAAGTCACTCAAAAGTTACTCAAAAGTCACTCAAAAGGAGAGTTTCAGCGCAGGTGTCCTTAAATCTATCGGCCAGCTCCTTTTGAGTCGACTCAAAAGCTCCTCGCATATGGTGTCGGTGGGAGTGGGGCTTTCGTCAACCCTTTTACAAACAAGTTTGCTTGCTGGAGCAGAAAATCAAGACTCACACAGAGTTCCGGCGCACGACTCCTTGAGTCTATCGGCCAGCTCCTCGCACATGCTGACGGTGGGAGTGGGGCTTTCGTCAACCCTTTTACAAACAAGTATGCTTGCTGGAGCAGAAAATCAAGACTCACACAGAGTTCCGGCGCACGACTCCTTGAGTCTATCGGCCAGCTGTTCGCATATGCTGATGGTGGGAACAGGGCCTTCATCCGGCTCCTTCACAACAAATTCGGTGTCTGCAATGCAAGTGGTGGATGCGAGGTGAGGGGAGTGAAGCGGAGATGAGCAGACAGAAATGAAGGGAGTTGATGGCAGGGAGGGAAGAGCCTCCGTGACTCCATCTGGTGGACAGTGATGGTGGGGGTGGGCCCTTCATCGGACTCCTTCACAATGTATTCGGTGTCTGCGGGTGGGAGGTGTGGGGAGTGAAAATGGGACAATCAGACAGGAATGAAGGGAGCTGTGGGGAGAGCGAGCTGACAGTAGCGGTGACGGTGATGGTAATGGTGAAGGGTCCCCATCCACCTGCTTCACAATGAATCAAGCTGCTGCACGTGACAAAACAAGGATAAACGTTGAGGAAGTGGCATAAGTGAACAGAAAGAGCGGCACAAGAACACAAGAAATATCTGGGCTGTTGGAGCCTTCCTGCAAGCTGTTTGGATGGGGTAATGGTGATGGTGGGCCCCCATCGACCTCCTCCACAACCACCTCAGTGTCTGTGTCTGAAAAAACAAAGATAAATGCCAAGAGAGTGGCATAAGAGAACAGGGAGTGTTTGGGCTGTTGGAGCCTCCCTGCAATCTGTTCCGAAGTGGTAATGGTGATGGTGGGCCCCCATCGACCTCCTCCATAACCACCTCAGTGTCTGTGGGAAAGAAGGGAGTTGAGAGTAGACATGGTTAAAACTCGATTGCGATATAAATCGCATAGCGTTGGGGTGCAATTCAATAAAAAGCGATGCGATTTAAAATCGCATCGCGCGATTTAAATTTCGGATTTTTGTTTTATCTTTTTTAATCGCACATCGCGTTTAGAGTGCGATTGAATCAAAAACCGCGCGCGATTTTAATTTCAATCGCGCGATGAGATTTAAAGCCCAAGTCTAGAATGGTTTGCTATCAAGTTCAGGAATCCTGAACTTGTTTTCGTCCAATAGAGGGTAACGTAGTAAATGCCGTTTGAACGTCGCATCTCTCAGGGAACAGGGGGCAGCTTGCAAATGCCGCGGAAAAGGACAAACCCGCAATTACTGTTCATCTCAGTATTCTTGATTTTCGCCTGCGACCATTCTGAACGCATTGTTGTGGGTCACTGTTTTCAAGCTGCCCAGCATTTTTGTGGATCACTGTTTTGTGGGTCTCGCGTCACTGTTTTCATGCCCAGTATTCATGGTTTTTTACCATTCTAGACTCGGGCTTTAAAATCACATCGTTTTCCAGACCAAAAAAAAAAACCTCCCAAATCGTCCCCATAATTTAAAAAAAAAGGGCAGCCCGCACTACTAAACACAGTTCGTACAGTATATTTCTCTGAAAGAGAATCCATTTGGCGCGTTTTTGGGCATTGCTTTCCCCCCCCCTCCCCCTTGCTGGAGCGATTTCGCGTCGCGATGTTTTCGAAATCGTGCACGATTTTTTTTAATCACAAATTGCATCTAAATCGCGTTTTTTTGCGTGCGATTAAATGCGATTTAATAACATCGCACGATAAACAATAAATCGCATCGCGCGATTAACAAAAAAAAAATGCCATCGCAAAAGCGCGATTAAATGCGATGCGATGCGAATTTTTTTAACCATGTCTAGTTGCGTTGAGAGCCACAAGGAAAAATCGCTGCAGCGACTTTTAAGTCGACTCAAAAGTCACCTCGAAAGAAGGAAGTTGAGAGCCACCGATTGCTGCATGGACTACTAAGGGTGCCACGGACATCCCTACATGTAGAGGAGGAAGAGGAGGGAGAGGAGGGGGAGGAGGGAGAGGAGGGGGAGGAGAGAGAGGAGGGAGAGGAGGGAGAGGAAGGAGAGGGGGGAGAGGAGGGAGAGGAGGGAGAGGGAGGAAGGAGAGGAGGGAGAGGAGGGAGACGAAGGAAGGAAGGAGAGGAGGGAGAGGAGGGAGAGGGAGGAAGGAGAGGAGGGAGAGGGAGGAAGGAGAGGAGGGAGAGGGAGGAAGGAGAGGAGGGAGAGGGAGGAAGGAGAGGAGGGAGAGGAGGGAGAGGAGGGAGAGGAGGGAGAGGAGGGAGAGGAGGGAGAGGAGGGAGAGGAGGGAGAGGAGGGAGAGGAGGGAGAGGAGGGAGAGGAGGGAGAGGAGGGAGAGGAGGGAGAGGAGGGAGAGGAGGGAGAGGAGGGAGAGGAGGGAGAGGAGGGAGAGGAGGGAGAGGAGGGAGAGGAGGGAGAGGAGGGAGAGGAGGGAGAGGAGGGAGAGGAGGGAGAGGAGGGAGAGGAGGGAGAGGAGGAGAGGAGGAGAGGAGGGAGGAGGGAGAGGAGGGAGAGGAGGGAGAGGAGGGAGAGGAGGGAGAGGAGGGAGAGGAGGGAGAGGAGGGAGAGGAGGGAGAGGAGGGAGAGGAGGGAGAGGAGGGAGAGGAGGGAGAGGAGGGAGAGGAGGGGAGAGGAGGGAGAGGAGGGAGAGGAGGGAGAGGAGGGAGAGGAGGGAGAGGAGGGAGAGGAGGGAGAGGAGGGAGAGGAGGGAGAGGAGGGGAGAGGAGGGAGAGGAGGGGAGAGGAGGGAGAGGAGGGAGAGGAGGGAGAGGAGGGAGGAGGGAGGGGAGAGGAGGGAAGAGGAGGAGAGGAGGGAGAGGAGGAAGAGGAGGAGAGGAGGGAGAGGAGGGAGAGGAGGGAGGAGGGAGGGAGAGGAGGGAGGGAGAGGAGGGAGAGGAGGGAGAGGAGGGAGAGGAGGGAGAGGAGGGAGGAGGAGAGGAGGGAAGAGGAGGGAGAGGAGGGAGAGGAGGGAGAGGAGGGAGAGGAGGGAGAGAGGGAGAGGAGGGAGAGGAGGGAGAGGAGGGAGAGGAGGAGAAGGAGGGAGAGGAGGGAGAGGAGGGAGAGGAGGGAGAGGAGGGAGAGGAGGGAGAGGAGGGGAGAGGAGGGAGAGGAGGGAGAGGAGGGAGAGGAGGGGAGAGGAGGGAGAGGAGGGAGAGGAGGGAGAGGAGGGAGAGGAGGGAGAGGAGGGAGAGGAGGGAGAGGAGGGAGAGGAGGGGAGAGGAGGGAGAGGAGGGAGAGGAGGGGAGAGGAGGGAGGAGGAGGGAGAGGAGGAGAGGGAGGGAGAGGAGGGAGAGGGAGGGAGAGGAGGGAGGGGAGGGAGTACCCGTGTCGCAGGTGGCGGTGCACACAATCGCACTGAGCAGATGCGGGGTGATGCACGATCACACGATCACGCACACAGGGGACGAGGGGGTGCGGCGTTGGGCGGGATACGCGGAGGTACCTTGGGCAGAGGTGGAAAGGAAAGGAGGTACCTGCGTTGCAGGTGGCCACGCACATGACCATTTCGAGCAGATGCGCGCACAGCAGATAGCCTTGGAGGCTTGACATGCCTGGTGGGAGAGGGGGAGAGGAGAGGGGGGGAGGGAGTGGGGAGGGGCAGGGGAGGGAGAGGGGGAGGAGAGGGGAGGGGGAGGGAGGGGAGAGAGGGGAAGGAGACGCAAGGGGTGGCAGCAGGTAGCGGTGCGCACGACCATTTCGAGCAGATGCGCGCACAGCGGATAGCCAGCCTTGAAGGGCCTCGCATGCCTGGTGGAAGGGTGGGTGGAAGCGGATGAGGGGGATGGGGGTGAGGAAGGAGGGGAGAGGAGAGAGACAGAGAAGGGGAGGGAGAGAGGGGGGGGAGAGAGGGGAGGGAGAGAGGGGGAGGGAGAGAGGGGAGAGAGAGGGAGAGGGGGGGAGAGGGGGGAGAGAGGGGGAGAAGGGGGGGGGAGAGGAGGGAGGGGGGGGAGAGGGAGGGGGGGGAGGGGGGGGAGAGAGGGGGGGGGGGGGAGAGAGGGGGGGGGAGGAGGGGGGGGGGAGGGAGGGGGGGGAGGAGAGGGGGGGGGGAGAGAGGGGGGGGAGAGAGGGGGGGAGAGGGGAGATGGAGGCGATGTTGGATCTGATATACCGCAAGCCGAGCTCCCAGCGCGCACGGAAGGGGTTGGGATGAGGGGATGAGGGGTTTGAAAGGGGTTTAGAGCTCCCAGCCGCCGCACGGCCCGCAGCACGTCCTGTTGTCCCTCTCTGGCACCGCCGGGCCGACCCAGAGGCCTGAGGAGGGGCCTGGCAGTCTCCGGAGCAACTTTTCGCGCCCCTGGTCTTCTAGGGCCTAGAATTTTGCCCGGGCGGCAGACTGGTGTTGGGGCTTCTCACAATGGGTGGGTTGGCCGGGTCAAAGCCAGCAGCAGCAGCAGCGCAGCACCCCCAACGAGTCAAAAACACTGCCAGTGGACACATTCGATCCGATATACCGCAAGCCGAGCTCCCAGCTGCCGCACGGCCCGCAGCACGTCTTGTCGTCGTCCTCGCTGTAGCACCGCCGCGGCGAGCCAGAGCCTCGTTATCTCCCCTGCAGCACTCACAGTGGGCGGGTTGGCCGGGTCGATGCCAGCAGCAGCAGGGCCGCCAAAGGCGTCAAAGACGAGGGAGACGTTTGATTGCACATATCTTAACCCGAGCTCCCAGCCGCCGCACGGCCCGCAGCACGTCCTGTCGTCGTCCTCGCTGAAGCACCTCCGCGGCGAGCCAGGGCCCGGTTCGACGGCCGGAAAAGCCGCGATATATTCGGGTTGCCGCCCGGTGAGCGGGCAGTCGGGGTACTCCTCCACGCGATAGCCCAACGGTAGCGGGGACGCCGCGACGGAGGGAAAGCAGCAGGAGGAGGCAAAGGAGGGGCGAGAGGATGGCCCACGCAGGGGTCCCGGGGTTTTTTCTTGGGTCGCCGCCGCCGCCCGGTGAGCGGGCAGTCGGGGAATTGTGCCACGCGATCGCCCTCCACGCGATCGCCCTCCACGAGATCGCCCTTCACGCGATCGCCCTCCACGAGATCGCCCTCCACGAGATATGCCTCCGGTAGTAGCGGGGACGCCGCGACGAAGAGACGGAGCCGCAGGGAAGGGCGGACCCAAGAGAGGCCTGAAGGGAGGGCCGACGGGAGGGTCGAGGCGAATCTGGTTCGCGCCATGGTCGTGATCGATCAGCCCCACTTATGACGCAGTATCTCCGTCGCTCGGTCGTTTTAGTCGCTGGGTCGCTGGGTCGCTCGGTCACTCAGTCGCACAGTCGCACAGTCGCTCAGTCGCTCAGTCGCTCAGTCCCTCCGTCTCTCAGTCGCACAGTCGCTCAGTCGTTCAGTCGCACAGTAAGGAAACGTTGCGTACCAGCAGCGCTCTCATCGCTACCGCGGTGACTACTTTAAAGACAGGCATTTCTGGGAAAAGGCTCGGGATCTGGCAAAACGAACGAGAAGACGAGCAGCAGCCGTCGACTCAATAAAGTAGCTCCTGAATCCCCAGTCCATTGCTGCTCTTCGGCGGCTCATTCGGTTTGGGATCGCTTGTGACCTCCCAGGCCTACTGCTCTGACTAGTAGATAGGAGGTGAATGTCGGTGCGACGCGCTTTTGTTGACTCTAGTTGACCGGGGGCGTTGTTTGAACTTGTGTTTTGAACTATTTTA